CTTGGGTTGGACCTAGGTTGGACTTGGGTTAGATCTGGGTTGATCTGGTTTATAACTAGGTTGTCGGAGTTGAACCAGGGTTGGACCAAGGGTTGACTTGGGTTGAACCTGGGTTGACTTGAGTTGGACTTTTGTTGGATTGTGTTGGACCTGAGTTGGACTTGAGTTGAACTTTTGGTTGAACATGGGTTGGACTTTGGTTGATCCTGCGTTGGACCTAGGTTGACTTGGGTTGGACCTATGTTAGACCTATTTTGACCTTGAATTGGATCTGGGTTAAACCTAGATTGGACGTGGGTTGACTTGAGTTGGACCTGGGTTGGACCTAGGCTGACTCAAATTGGAACTGGGTTGACTTGAGTTTGACTTTGATTGGACCTCAGTTGGACCTTAGTTGACCTGGATTAAACTTAGATTTGGGTAAGTTTAGACTAGGGTTTGGGTTAGGTTAAACCAGGTTTTTTGGTTAGGTTTGGATCATGTTAGACACATATTTAGGTTAGGTTAGACCGAGATTTGAGATTAGGGTCAGATTAAGGTTGAGTCCACCTAAGTCAGACCCAAACCCAAGCCTAACCAAAGGTTATCTAATTGTGTTAAATTGAACATAAGTCAACTTAGTTTAAATTAAACTAATGTAAGAGATTATTAAAAATGTAAAAGGAAAATGTGGAGGACTTACTGGTGAGGAAGGTTGTAGGATGAAGCATCAAAATAACTAAGTAGAAAATCTCTCTGTCGAAGTGCTCTAGGCACCTATTTATAGGTTAAAGAGGAAGTGAAAGGAGCCTCGATGACCGTAGATTAAATTAAATATCGACAGTCTGGTATCCTTTAAGAGTTAGAGCTCCCACGGATCACCGGTGGCAAAACGATCAGTTGATTTGTTGTTCTTAAAACCAGTGTATGGTGAGGTATTAGGTTGGCATGGCTTAGAGGCATGGACACACTAACATTGGGCTTTATCACCTACAAAAACTTTTGGGCATAGCTACGCCTGAACTAGGTTTGGTTACACCTGAATTGGGTGTGATTATGCCCAAATCGGGCGTGACCACACCCAAGAACTTCTGGGCATGGTTGCACCTGAACCAAGTGTGACCATGCTGGTTCAATAAGATGTATTCTGCTAGTGTGAGTATGGATGCACACACGCACATGCTTGGTCGTGCATGTGCACTCGTATGCCTAATCAAAAAGGGAATTCTGGACCCACCCATGTAGAGAATAACTTAAGTATTTCAAAGGATGGCTATTGGGTACATTATCTCCAAGGAGAGGTAGTTAGGGTCAAAGTGTGGTCCCAACCCATGAAGATTGAGTTCTTTGATGAAATACCAAATGAATCATGAACGAATCATTCCTAGCTCAATGTGAACAAGTTTCAGATTTGAGTTGAATGTGAGCTGGTTTTGAGTTTGAATGAAGGGTTGATCGAAAGTGAGGTTAACAACATTCAAAATACTAGTTTCCAATAGAATGATGAATGTCAAATTGATTTTAATGAACTCAATACATACTTAGCTTCACCATCTCTCTTATTAAAACCAATGCAAAGTGAGGTATTAGTTTCAAATAAAGCCAGTGCACATCATTGATATGTTAGTATCTGATAAAGACATCTGACACAGTATGATAGAAAATTCTTTCTAAAATTTAATTTTGATATCCAATGACTAATAAAATGGCCTTTGTACTAATATTCTTGGCACAAAAATTACATCCATATTTTTAAGCCCATACTATTGGTGTAACCCAAATCTTTCTTTAAGGGTTATCTCATAAAAATCAAAGATATCAACGAGGCTAATGAAATGTTCGGTAGAATTAGGAGAGTTTGATATCCATTTTTTATCACGGCCTAATATCAAATCACAAGTGCTTCTTGATTTTATGATGAATGTATAATTTTTATCCTTGTTCAGTTAGTCATTGCCCCTCATAGTATTCCCTATGATGTTGATGGAGTTTTTAGGAATTCTAAACTCCGTGAATGATACCTATCAAATGAGACAATAGTAGTATAAGACTTGAGTTGGGAGGTGAACACATCAATACTGATAAAAAAACACTCTTCTAAGGAACGAGCAATAAGTCTTCACAAACAAATCATAAGAAATTAACAGTACAAAAAATTTATTAAAGGGAAAAAATGAGATAAAGGTAAAAATGAAACAAAGGTAAAAAGCCAGTCAATGGTCGCATTTCATTTCATATAATCAATTGATTACAAATATTTTCTTTCCTTTACAAAAATTTCATATACCCGTTTTCTGTTGTAAGCAAAAAATTAAAAATTCTTAGTATAAAAATCCCTGAAGCTGAATCACACGTTGCACGAACCTTCATTCATTACATCCTCCCCCTTAGATTCATCTCTTCATTTGGTGACTGCTATCAAGGCAGAGAAAAGCTTTGTAAATTCATCCAAGTTTGAGCACTTTGGGTCGACCAACCCAATTTGCATGAATTGGTCAATCTCACACTTTATGTCAAGCTAGAGGTATCTGGCCTGGCCATTGAAGAACTCCTCGTCCACCTTCATCATTGTCTATTTCTTTATCAAGAAGTAATTTTTCTTATGATCAACTTAAAGTCAGACGCACTCTCCAGTTCTTCCTTAAATTCTTCCAACCAAGCCACAGTCTTGACCGCTCATTCCAACTTAAAGTCAGACACACTCTCTATCGCACTCTCTATCTTTGTCGGAGCCATTGTGATCTTGGCCCTTTTCTCAAGCTTGAAGGCTTTTCCCTTAGCATTGAGGTAGAAAGAAGAGAAGTAATGTGTGTTCATAAGTCCTAATAGCTGGTACATGTCAACCATATGGCATTAGTATTGAGGGTCGCACTCGTTGATATGCTTCTCAAAACTCTTATGTTAGAGTATATCAGTGATCATTGAAGCATAGACATCTGTGATTGGGGAGTTTGGAAACTAATCCCTCATTTTATTGATCAATTCAAATTGGGATACTTTTCTCAGAATGACTTTTGGCCACCCCATTTGCATTAGGCTCCATCCACCTAAAGCTCCCTTCTGTATTTTCCAAGGAAATAAGGGAAGTTAAAATATCTAAACCAAGCATCAGAGCCTTGCCTTTTCTTCGACAGTCTTCATCAGAGGTAGTGGGATCAGGATGCAGTTCAAACTCAATTTGAGTCTCTTCCTTGTGATGGGTTTCATCCTCATAAAAAAAATAGGCACAAGCTTTGGCTCTGATTCAGTTTGACCATGTCGGCAGTAAGAAGTTGGGAGTTGTAATGTTGTCGGCTGTCAGGATGGATATCCTAACACCTGTTTTAATTTAATTTAATGTATATAATTTGAAAAAAATAGTATTTTAGATTTTGGAAAATACAAGACCGAACCGATCTCATATCCCCAGTAGTTTAAATAAATGAGTCTAATACCGCAAGTAATGTATCCATCCCGAAGGATAGACACACCACTTACTGGTAAGGCTCGATTAGATAAACTAAAGATTGTATGACATCCATTTGGTCTGCGAAACCATTTTTATTATAAGTCGACAAGTTCCCCTATTTAATACAAAAATTAAATAGGGTTTTGTTTTAAGTTGGGTTCGAAAATGCTTCCTATAAGGGCAAGCCCCTATAGTTAAAGCCCCTATAGTTAATTATATCCGTTAATTACATCTTAAATGACCGAAGTCAATTAAGAAAACTCTCGATAAAAATTAGGAAAATATTATCTTCAAGGAGTTCAAAGAGATAGAACTTTTTAATGAGATCGGACAAAGAGGTGTGAAAGGGGAATGGTTCAAATTTAGAACATTTATTTTGGAATTTAAAGGAGGGAGAACTAGAGGATGTCGTAGATCCTGAGGAGAACCTCGATGACTTCCCAAATTATCCTACTGTTTAGCTTATATTTTGGGGATTAGAATTATTGAATGTTTCATCCTGTTAATTTTATTAATTAGGTCTTACATTTGTGTAAAATGATCACACAAATAGCCTGAAAAATGTGAGGATTTAGGTCATAACGAACGACAACCTTGGAATCCTAAGGCGAGTTAGGGCTTTTATATTGTATAGCAGAACCATACAAAGGCCTAAAGATAAGTAAGGATTTATGTTGCATAAGCAAACAACCTCAAAGTCCTATGGATTTGTTGTTTAATTCTAAAGAGAAGATATGTTGTTGTAGATTCTATTGCTGTTATAAATCATTGTCATAGAATGTTGCACACAGGAATGCTCTAAGCTCCTTGATGAAGTAGCGGGTTTTAGTTTTAGAAATGTCAATTGAGGAGATGAGAAAAATATCATGTTTTAGAAGTCATGTTTTAGAAGTCATGTTTTATAGTGTGTCAGTTCATGATGTTAAATCAATTATTTTCTAAGGTTATGGTTATTGGGTCATATTAAAGTTGATTAGAGCGACATCGGTTAGGATCCTACAGTTCCCTCATTCCGGCACCACTATTTTCTTTCAGATTCACTTAGTCCAAATGAATTTACTAAACTCAACTTAATGAGTTCCATACTTTCATTTAGACCATGGGAAATCTCGTTAGCAAACTGTAGGTTACCTCCTCCGAGAGATTCCCGATTATCCGATAGAGACGTTTTAATTTAGTTGCAATTTTAGTTTTTTGTGATTTTTGTAATTAAATTTTGAGTGTTCTTATATTTTGAATGTTGTGGGGGTGAATTTTATCTTGTTTGATTTTTTTTTTATTTTTGCTTTTAAATTTTTTTTTGTTTCAGTTTTGTGGCTATCCTAAAAGTTTTAGTTTTGACATGCAGGGTGACATCGTTGTTTAACATGCAAGTTCATGAGCAGGAAAAGTACAGTAAGAAAAGTGCAGGAAAAGAAGTTGTAAACTATAAAAGCGTATCTGTGGAGTCTTCTTGTTCCTCCACCTGAAGGTTCAGTACTTGCAAGGCATATGTATATAGTTTTGCAGGAAAAAGAATAGGAAGTACAAGTTCAAGGTGTGTCTATCAGCTCCTATGTCATATCTTAATGGGTCACATTCTATCTAGTTTTTCCTCCATTACTGGATCAATGCCAACAAATTTAAATTTTTTGGCTGACGGCACTGCCTGTTATAAATAACAAATGTGCATTAATAAAGTAGTGTCAGGTCAATGCGAAATTAGATTAAAGAGAAAGTAAAAAGATTAAATTATAGACCTGTAGTTTTTCAGCCCACCATTCCTCTGGTGCATCTATTGTGCGCTTAACAGGATCCCAGCCCATTCCTGTTGATCCCTGTTTTAGTTCTTTCCATAGTTTCCAATCCTTCTTTAACTGATCCCATTTGTTCTTCATTTTCATGCGATCGTAATCTCTTCCAGTCATTTCTTTGAATTTAACTAAAATATTTCGCCACCCTGCTTTGTTAAAAAATGTAGTGGGTCTATTTCCCACCTCAACCTCCCTTACACATAAATCACAAAAGATTATAGTAACTTCTCTATCCCACATGGCCGATGTTCCAGCCTCTCTAGCTTTACTCATTGAGTTCTGTCAGATATATGGATGGGCATAAAATGTTTCTTTTCATGACAATAAAAATCATAAAACAAAAAGAACAATGTTTCATACCGCTATTGTACGTTTAAAATGTGAAATACACCATATAAAAATTGAGTGATACGTTTGTAAATCTTCCTAAATAATATTTATTTCTCATAAAGGTTTATTTATCTAACATGTTCTTGAGCGATGATTTCTGCTATTCTTGCCTTGTAGGTTTTAAGTGTCATTGTTGAAATTAGATTGAAAGCAAAAGTGATGGAAAAAGAATTAAAATAATTTTTAATTTTTCTATTGATAAGAACTAAATATCTACCAAAGTCTTAAAGCTAAATATCAATGGATAAATAATATAGGAAGGAGCACATGTTTCAAACTTATTTGCTAAAATTTTGAAAATAGATTCATAAAACGTGCTCCATAAGGAGGAGATGAGTGAACTCAACAAAGATGTCTCCGTTAATGTTTGAGAATGGGACTTGACAAGACTATGTATGCTCGTCTGATCAACCATATTAGACAACTTCCGATCAGCAAAATGACCAAAATGTCGCTAATTTTTATGGTGAATTTCATTGTTGAAGGAGTGAAGAATAATTGGTCTTTTAGGGTTGCAGAAATTTAAGATGCAACAGGAAAGTGGGAAAGAGATGACAGTTCAGAGTTTTGTCTGCCAATTTGTAACAATATGGTTAGTAGATATTTTGCTATATGAAAGATGATTTTAAGACTTTCTATATCCATAAGTAATATCTGTATAAATTTCCCTCAAACAAAGTCAAAAAAAAATGAAATAAGTTCTATATGTGAGCTCAGAAACATCCAATTCCAAAAAATAATTGAGCAAGGCAGCAGCTAGCAACAAAAAATCAAGTACTCCAAACTAACGCAGCAGTAGCAAGCAACAAAAAATGAAGCCCAGGAACCAAAATGATAATCCAAGAGCAACTTCATTAAGGAGATCAAATCAATACAGTAAACCACAACCTAAAAACAGAAACAGTTAAAGCACAAATAACCAAAAACTTAAGTCTGCTAATACATAAGAGAAGCTCAATTGATGTTCAAGATAAATTGAAACTTTAACATATATAACCTCTGAATTTAAAAAAAATAGAAAAAACTTAGATTGTAAATAAGTTTTGTGACAACCTTGTGGTTTGTTGAAGAAAATCCGCAAGAACTGGCTTCGGAGAGAACTGCCTTTGACGGGAGCGAGAAGATCCGCAAGATCTGGCTTCAGACAGAGAAGATCTGGCTTCGAACGGTGAAGAACCGGCTTTGACGGTAACGAGACGAGAAGATCTTGCTTTGACGGTAGCGAGAGTACAAGATTTCGCTCCGACGGCAGCTAGAGGAGAAGATCCGGCCTCGAGGAGAACGAGAGGGGGAAGATCCGGTTGCGACGGGAGCTAGGGTAGCAGATCCGACTTCGAGGAGTGCGAGACGACGAGATCCACGTTCGACGAGAGCCCGAGGAGAGGTTCCGGCTTCGACGGGAGGGCGACGGGTCAGTTACGGCTTGCAGGGAAAGTGCTCGCGGAAGAGGAAGGAAAAAGGAGAAATGCTATCGGGAGAGGCAAGGTCGCGGAGAAGAAGATCAGGTCGCGGCTTCGACGATCTGGCTTCGAACGACGCGGCAGTTCGCGAGCGGGCTTCGAACGAGGGAACAGGGGTTAATGGGGTAATAAAATTCGCGAAATGCGGACCGGGGGGGTCAGCCCGCGGTCCGCGTCTCTTAGCAAAATACAAAACGCTATTTTAAATAGTCTACCAAAAAGTGCGAACGTGCGAACCAAACGGTATGGCGGCGTTTTCAAAACGCCGCCCGCACTTATAAGCTGCCCCAAACGGGCCCTAAATGTATAGATTATTTCTCAAGCAACACATAATGAGTTTAATCATACTTCAAGATATCAAAAAGAGTATGAGAAGATTCTAGGGACCAGACCCCCATACATCTCACAATCCCTTGAAAAGTCCCGAGTTTATTCATACTTATTATGTTGCTTAATAATTCATCCTTATCATACCCTTATGCTCAAGGAAATAAATGATGTGCTCAAGGAAATGATGTTCTAGCCAACTCTAAGGATGGGGTAATTATCACTTGATGTTTTATTTACAAATTATATAGGTAAAGACCTTTAGGGGCAATTTGGTTTAATTGAGGAGCTTAGTACTTTGATTTTAAAGATGGGCTTGTAGTGTTTTTTTTTAAGAAAAAAGTTTTAAATTAGTTATAGATTATTTGCTAAACTTCATTAAACAAAATTTTGATTAAGCCTAGTTCACTACTAAGCCCTTAAAAATTAATGGGTAGATTTGTAATTTTAGAAAAAGATTTAAATGTTTATACATTTAATCCTTATCATGAATTATAAGTCATTTAAAAACCATTAATTGGGGCTTAAAGATCAGTGAGTTGTGATATTCTAAAAATCAAACCCCTCACCTTAATATCTTTTTATTTAAATATTATTCCAAATTCCATTAATTTTAAGAAATTACAAATTTATCCTTTATAAAACCAAAATGAGATTGGTTGCTACAATTTATCCCTTTCATGTTCCAATCCTAAAAATATATCAATTAAGATTATTTTTTGCTCATTTAGCCCTTTGATTAAGTCTAAATATTAATTAAGCCTTAAAATCCAAAATTACCCTTTTGCCCCTAAGGCCCTAATACCCTATAATTCATTAAATTAAACTCAAATGACTTGAAAATTTTATATTACCCAAGTCATGGGTTAATTAAAACACTAAAGGAGAAAATAAGATTTTTTTCTGAATTTATTTAATTTTATAATTATTTTTAATGCAAAAATAGGGATTTTCAATGAAAATTTAATAGCCTAATCAAAACAAAGTCTTTGTCCTTAAGAAAATTATTGGAGGTTCACCTAGGTTAGATGACCATTTGGACCAATTTTCATAAGTTTTAGAGGATTAATTTAATCATTAGAATTATTGGTTTGTTTTGAGCATTAGTTAAATATAAAATATTTTTTAAGTGGAAAATTAAGTTTTATATTTTTATTAATTCTCTCTGAGTCCAGGGAACCTAAAGAAATAAATTTCATATTTTTTTATTTGTATTTTTATTATTGGAATTATTTTAGTGAGAAATTAGAGAAAATTCATTTTATGCCTTTAGAAATTAATATCTTGACTTGGAAAATTAGGAAAATTATTTTAATTGGTTATATGTGATTAGCAAGTCAAATTTGGCATTTTAGTGTGTTTTTACAATCTTATATTTTTTATAATTTTTAATTAATATTTAATTATTTAAATGTCCAAAACTAGCTCAAAAATGAATTATTTATTTTAATTCCAATTTTACTTTTCTTAAGCTCCTCTGGTCATAAGGAGCTCCCAAAACCAATTTGGTGATTTTTTTTAGTTTTATTTCAATTATTATAATTATTTTAATGCCAAAAATGTGATTTCACTTGATTAATTCATTTGAGTGGTCAAATTAACTCCAATTAACTTGAAATTTTTATGGCGAGCTCCTTTAACATTAAATCAGTGTGAAAAATAGTTTTCATGTCATTTACTTTTATAATTAATCCAAAATAATTTTATTTCATTTTTTCGAGTTGGTGACAATTAGGATTATTTTTAATGAGTTAAACTAAGTTTATATTTTTCATCGGGTCCTCTAACCACAGTGAATCTACCATGAATCCACAGTGAATCTACCAAAATAAATTTTATATTTTTATGATGAGTATTTTAATTTTTATAATTTTTTTACAAAAAAAAACATGATACGCTTGAAAAATAGAGATCTCTGTTTAGAGATTTCCCCTGACCTTAAAAAAATCAGGGAAGATGCCTCATGATAAAGAGAATCAAAGACCAAAAAATCATGTCATGGTGAAATGTTTATGCAAATGGAGAGTCAAATGAAGAAAAACACCATTTAATTAATTAGAAATTATACGTGCATCAAATGGATATAAAAATATTTTCACATTGTTCTCCTCTATTCACTGAGCAAAAGGATATTTTTATTTTATTTTTGTGATTTTTCTACACAAAGATATGCAATTTTTGAAGTTTTGGCATTTTATTAAATAAGCAAAAAGCCCCTAATTTTCTACTTATCCAGCTCAGCGCCAGCGCATCCTAGGCAGCTCTGAACCGTGCACGCGTCTGCTTCTGGTTGGGCACTGCCAGCTGAGTCAGCCCGTTGTACACGCACCGAGACTTCATCCAACGCGATCTCAGCCGTCCATCTGATACACGCGTGATCGGACGGCTCTCTGTCATCGTCCCCGATGAACCAAACCCGTGAGCCGTCCAACTTAAAACCATAATATCTCAAGCTACACTTGACCAAATCAGTTTGGGTTTGATCCTATGGACTCGTCTAAGTGAGAGGAACCTATCCATACGGCCAACCTACCATGAAATCAATTCTATGCTCATTGAGAATTAACATAAGCTCGGGATGAGGGAAAACATATTATACCTTGGTCCAAAAGGGGAAGCCTCGATTGGATGCTTGGAGAAGCTTTGTGGAGGCCCAAAGAGCTTGAGGATGAAGCCTCTGGTCGCGGTGAATTGTCTAGACTTAAGTTCAACCAAGGCCGATTTTGGGTGTTGGTCAAAGTCCACCCTAGAGTGCTCTGGTGATGGGGCTTTTGTGGGGTATCTTCCTCTCTCATTGTGGGGATGGTGTGGGTGCAATTAATTTGAATTTGGTGGAGTTTTGGAGGGTGTCCTGTATTGGTCTTGAATTTGAGCTCCAAAATTGTGCTCAAGTAGTAGGCTTGAGTGGCTAAAGATGGTTGGGTTTAACTCAAGAGGTCTTGAAGAAGCTCTGGAAATAATTTGGTAGAGTTTCCCCAAGGAATTTCAGGCTCTCTTAGTTTGGCCATGGAGGGTCGGTTTAAATAGAGGGGAAAGAAGAGGCTATCAGGGGCAATTGGTGGGTGCTTTGGGTTGCTTATGTGGATGCCAACAATGTGCAAAAATCCAATTGGGATGAGACAGCTTGGATGGGTTTAATTTTGAGTTTTGGCCTAGGTGTAGCTTTTGAACAAGGCTTTT